AATGTGTATTGATTTAATTTTTAAATTTTTGCTAGTGTGTTTCTTCATGTAGCCTCTTCATTGCTTTTATCTGGAAACATGCTGAGCCCTTCAGTCTGGATACCTAGTTGTGTGTTTGTTTGTTAGCTTAGGAATCCTATCTCATTTGATGTTAGCTTTTGTTCCAATTCTTTTTTTTCCCTTAAATACACTTGAGGTTCTTAGGTTGGATCTCTGGTACTTGTCTTTCATATCTATCATGCTCTCATTTTTCTCCATTCCCAGAATCTTTTCACACTTAGTCTTCACATGACTGATTATGCTTTCTTCCTGGGCTATATATTATAATCTCAGTACTATATATATAGTTCTTGGTTTCCCTAAAATTCTTGCTTACCCACTGATTTTGTCTCATTCTCTTGGCTTTTCTTCTCAACCCCTTCTGTCCTCATGGCTTATAGCTAGTTTCTTCATAGAAACCTCCTGAGGACTTTAGCTTTCAAGATAATGTTTCCTTCTTCTTGTCCCTTAGTATTTATTTTCAAAGGTCCCAGGTTAAGTTTTGCCATTTACTACAATCCAGAAAGGAGAGGTCTTTCTGGCCCCAACATTTTTCAGTAGTTGCTTCATGTGTATCTGTAACTGCAGAGTAAGTTGCTGAACTTAATTTCCAGGATCTTGCAGGTTTTCCCCTACGGTGGCTTCGTTAAAGGAAAGTGAAGTTTCCTTTGCCCTAACTGCCATACCCTAATCTTCTGTGGCTAGGTCAAGCATATGGGAGACTAGTGCACTGCTGTGGGTGATTTGCCTTCCTCCACTAAAGTGGCATTTTTGCAACTGCTAGGAATTTCATGAATGGGCAAAAATTGTATTTTCCATTCCACTCCCATTGCCACTGGAGTGGTTAATAAATTACCATTTCTCACAGTAGCCTTTGAAACCTTATGTTCACTATTGTTTCAGTCTTTTAAGTCTGTTTCAGATGCTGTTTTAACCCACTCTTATTTTGGAATTTAGTATGGGTATGCACAGACTTTTTTTTATATAGAGTAATTTTTCAGACGGGTCCTCTTTTAAAATTGCTTCATGCACAAAATTTTTTTTTTTTTTTTGAGACAGAGTCTCACTGTGTTGCCCGGGCTAGAGTGAGTGCCGTGGC